AAAACTTCATAATTTTAACTCTAGAATGCTCGTTAAAATGTTAAAAGTAAATACTAAATTCCTTACCGAAATCTTAATGTTTTCATGGACCTTTCTTCTTCTTCTTCTCTTCTCCTTCTCTCTCTAGATCATTCCCTCTCTCTCTAAGCTCTTAAAAGATGGAAGAATGAAATGGAAAAGATGAGAAAATTGGAAGGGAGGGATCCCTATTTATAGGAAATGGGGACCGTTAGATTTGCACCAAATACCTGTCCTTCTCTCTCTAGATTACTCCCTCTCTCTCTAAGCTCTTAGAGGATGGAAGAATAAAATAGAAGTGGTGAGGAAATGAGAAGGGAGGGGTTCCTATTTATAGAAAATGGGGACCGTTAGATTTGCACCAAGTAGTGAAATGTGGTGAGGAGAGAGAAAGTTAACGGGAAAGGAGTGATATGATGCGACGTGACGGTGGTGCAAAAAATAGAGGCACGCCTCCCAAACAACAACTGCACATCGCCCAAGACGGTGACAACACACCACCCAACCGATGGTGCACACCGCCCAAGACAGTGGCGCCCAAGGGGGTGGTACACAGCGCCCGAGGCAGTAACATGTCTCCCCAATCAAGCACGCGCTGCAAGCCTATCCTGTAGGTGCACCAGCTTATCCTACTGCGCACAGGGCTAGCCTGCGCGAAGGCCCAAGTGCACAGGCCTACCACGCAGGCCTACTGCGCGTACAGGGCGCACGGCATCGCACCAATCCGCGCACATCCCATCTTCGCACGATGGGAGGCGCAGGTAGACTAGCCTCGCGCTCTGCATGGACATGATGTGTGCACAGTGGGCACGTCCTGTGCTGGCCGTGTGCACGTCCTGTGCTGGCCATGTGCACGAATGCATGCGCGATGTGCGATGCCCGCGCAGGCAGGTCCTTTCGCTCGGGCGTTTTCCCATGGGATTCTTTCCCTTTTTCATCTTTTCTCCTAAAAATTTATTTTTAAAATAGAAATAACAAAATAATATTGACCAAAATAATAAAAATATAATCTTTTAGAATAAATTTAAATAAATTAAAAATACGAATTAAATTTATGAAATGTGATATTAAAAACTACGAAATAATTTAAAGAGTTCAAGTGGTTCCCAATTACAAATTAAGTGCAAAGGTTTGCAGGGTGTTACATTCCCCCCACCTTAGAAAATTTTGTCCCCAAAATTTGTCATGAATAAGTCTGAACACTTTTCTCTCATCTCGTTCTCCAACTCACATGTTACCTCTTCCGGAGTGTGGTGCTGCCACTATAGCACCATTGCACCTTCACTATGGGTATCATCTTGTTGCACAAAACCTTGTTAGTCCAATCAAGGGTTTTTACAGGGAGTTGCTCGTATGTCCTATCAGCTTCCACCTGCATCTCATCGTGAGGAAGGATGTGAGAAGGGTCAAGATAGTACTTTTTAAGTATGGAGATATGGAAAACATCATGTAGACCTGCAAACTCTCACGCCGGAGCAAAGTGGTACTCCATGGGTCCAACACGCTCCACGATCTGAAAATGTGCCACTTAATGGGGGCTCAACTTCT